ATCTGGTCTTTTTTTTGTGAGTTAGAATTATGTTCTACATCCTTCTCCAGCTCTGTCCAGAACCCTCTGTTGTGATCCTGGTCAAAGCAGTCAGTGGTGGTAGCCGGGCACCATCTAGCTGTACTGGATTCAGTCAGGTGGAGGCCTTGGTAGCTGTGGACCATTAGTCCTTTGGACTAATCTTTTCCTTGTATCCTGGAGAACCGGCTTTTTGTCTTGTTAACTCTTTCAATTGTTTTGCTATTCTCCATTTCATTTAATTCTGCTGTAATTCTTATTATTTCCTTTCTTCTGGCACCTGAGAGCTTCTTTTCTGCTCTCTTTCTTCTTGTTCCAGTTGTAGGGTTAATGTTTTGATTATGGCCCTTTCTTCTTTTTTTGATGTGTGCATTTATTGCTATAAACTGACCTCTGAGCACTGCTTTTGCTGTGTCCCAAAGGTTCTGGTAGGATGTGTTTTCATTCTCGTTTGATTCTATGAATTTCTTTATTCCATCCTTAATTTCTTCTATAACCCAGTAATTTTTGAGCAAGGTGTTGTTCAGTTTCCATGTGTTTGATTTTTTTTTTTTTCCTTGCTTTTCCTGTTGTTGATTTCTACTTTTATGGCTTTATGGTTAGAAAAGATGCTTTGTAATATCTCGATGCTTTGGATTTTGCTAAGGCTTGCTTTATGGCCTAAGATGTGGTCTGTTCTGGAGAATGTTCCATGTGGGTTGGAAAAGAAAGTATACTTGGCTGCTGTTGGGTGGAGTGTTCGGTATATGTATGTGAGAAAAAGTTGGTTAATTGTTGAATTTTGATCTTCCGTGTGTTTGTTGAGCTTCTTTTTTCTGGATGTTCTGTCCTTCACCAAAGTGATGTATTGAAGTCTCCTGCTACTATTGTGGAGCTGTCTCTCTCTCTTTTCAGTACTGTTAGAGTTTGTTTTATGTATTTTGGAGCCCTGTCGTTGTGTGTGTAAACAGGTATTATAGTTATGTCCTCCTGGTGTTTTCAGCCTTTAATCATTATATTGTGCCCTTCCTTATCCTTTGTGGTGGATTTTACTTTAATGTCTATTTTGTCAGAGATTAATATTGCCACTCCTGCTCCTTTTTGAGTGTTGTTTGCTTGATATATTTTTTTCATCCTTTGAGTTTTAGTTTGTTTGTGTCTTTAAGTCTAAGGTGTGTCTCTTGTAGACAGCATATTGATGGATCGTGTTTTGTTAATCCAGTCTGCCACTCTGTCTCTTTATTGATGCATTTAGTCCATTTATATTCAGCATAATTATTGATAGGTATGAGTTTAGTGCTGTCATTTTGATGTCTTTTTTGCGTGTTGTTCACAGTTTCTTTGTTCCACTTAATTGTCTGTGCTGAGATGTTTTTCTTTATGTGTTTTCTTTTCATCTTTTTCACTGTTGTTGATTTTGTGTTTGCTGTCTTTATATTTTTCTAGTTTTTTATTTTGACTTGTAGGATTGTTAGTTTCCTTTGTGGTTACCTTAATATTTACCCCTGTTTTTCTAAGTTTATACCAGTGTTTTATTTCTTTATATCGTCTTGACTTCCTCTCCATATGAAAAGTCTGTGTCTACATTTTTAAGTCCCTCTTTTTTGTTTTAATGTTGTCATCTTTTACCTACTGACATCTGTTTCCCTATTTTCAGTGTTTTAGCTTTGATTTACTTTTGTGACTTCCCTATCTGGGTTGATACCTGGTTGCTCTGTCCTGTGTTCTGGTCTTGGGTTATTATCTGATGTTACTGATTTTCTGACTGGAGGGCTACCGTTAGTATTTCTTGTAATTTTGGTTCGGTTTTTGCAAATTCCCTTAACTTTTGTTTATCTGGAAATGCCCTAATTCGCCATCATATTTGAGAGACAGTTTTGCTGGATATATAATTCTTGGCTTGCAGTTTTTTTCCTTCAAGGTTTTATATATGTTATCCCGTTGCGTTCTGGCCTGCATGGTTTCTGCTGAGTAGTCTGAGCTTATTCTTATTATTGACTCTCCTTTGTAGATGACTTTTTGTTTATTTATTCCTAGCTGCTCTTAAAATTCTCTCTTTATGTTTGGTTATGGCAAGTTTGATTATATGTCTTGGTGACTTTATTTTGGGATCTACGTTATGTGGGGTTCGATGAGCATCTTTAATAGATATCTTCTCATCTTTCACGATATCAGAGAAGTTTTCTGCCGACAAATCTTCAACAATTCTCTCTGTATTTTCTGTTATCTCCCCCTTTCCCGATTCTGGTACTCCAATCACTCGTAGGTTATTCCTTTTGATAGAATCCCACATAATTCTTAGGGTTTCTTCATTGTTTTTAATCCTTTTATCTGATTTTTCCTTAAATAAGTGGGTATCAAGAGCTTTATCTTCAGTCTTACTGATTCTGGCTTCCATTGCCTCAGTTCTGCTCCTGTGACTTTCTGTTGAGTTGTCGAATTCTAAAATTTTATTGTTAATCTTCTGAATTTCTGATTGCCGTCTCCCTTTGGATTCTTGCAGCCTGTTATATTTGTCATTATGCTTTTCTCTAATCTTTTTAATTTCCTCTGTTGCATGTTCTGCGGTTTGCTTAATTTCCTTCCTAATTTCTTGAAGAGTTCTGTATATTAATCTTTTATATTCTACCTCTGCTAATTCCAAGAAATTTTCCTCCTCTAGAAAATTTCTAAATTATTTCGGGAGCTTGCTGAAGCCATCATGGATTGCCTCTTTATTTGATTTGGCATTGGCTGTTGTCTCAAAGCTATCAATAAGTTATTATATTTATTTTATGTTTGCTTACTGTGTCCTATTTTCGTGTTTTGTTTTGACATGCCCAAATAGGCTGCTCGTATGAGCTAGTTTGATGATTGGCACCTTTGGAGCTCTAATGTCTTGGTACCGGGTAGTTAGATCTGTTACTAGGTAAGTGAGCTCAGGAGTCTGCCCACCCATCCTGTATGGATTCAGCTCAGGTGCCCAGGTAGATAGCCACCAAGTATGTGGTGTAGGCTCTCACTTATAATCCTAGACAGACATGGGTGATTGGTGTAGGCACAGGCATCTGGCTGAAGCAGGAGGACACATTCTGAGCAAGGCAGGGGGCTGATGACCGCCCCCGAGTGTCTAGGAGGAAGGCGTGTCCCTGTTCCCTAGAATGCATAGGTGGGTGGGTTTTGCAGGTGGACTATGAGCAGCTAATGCTGTTGGCTGTAAGGTCTGGGGTGCACCTCTTATTCATGGGCCCCTCTCGCAGGTGGCTAGGTGGCGTGGGTGGAGTCACCAGTCCTTAGGCCACTGATGTGGGTAGGTGAAGACCATGCTTAATGAGCAGAACAGTGTCAAGTGTGAAGAACCTGCCACTTTACAGCTGAAACAGTTGAAGTCAGAGTTCCAGTATATATCTTGCTGTACTGCGGTAATGAGGGCCTGCGCTGTTGAGATGGGTCCACACAAATCTGTGCAGGGGGAAAGTCTGTGGATCCCTCATGCCTGTGCCTAGGCAAAGGAGCTGTGCCTACCCTGGGTTCCTGGCTTAGGGGTAATGGCAGTTTAGTTTTTCCCGTTTGTTAATTTGTTCACTCTTGAAGGCAGGGAGAATGGCTCTGGGTCTGTGAGGGATCCTATTTCCGGCCCAGGGGACTCGCCAATTGCTGAAGCCAGTCCGGGACCCAATGCAGAGCAGGGAGCGGGGAGGCAAATGGGAGAGAGGTTTTTCCCTAAGGTGGGTGTTTTTGATCTTTGTGGTAAGCCGTCTGCAAGTAGTTAGCTTTTGCCGATAAGGGCTGCTTCTCACTGGTTCTGGGTGGCCGTGTAGACTCTTTGGCTCTGGGTCTCTCCTGGTGTGTAAAACGTGCCTCATAAGCACCGCTGCTTGCCTGCCTCACTGCTTACCCATGAGCTGCTCAGGACTGAAGGGCTTAGGCTCTCGCCTGGTCAGGGCTGGCAACTCCTCGCTGCTTCCGAACCATCTCTCCCACCCCCTGCCACTCAGTCTGGTTCCTCAACTCTGCTCTCAGATTGCCATATATAATTGAATCACTTGTCTTTTCGGATCTTTATTGTAAGAGGGTCCACCGGAAGCGTTTGCCTACTCCACCATCTTGGCCCCGCCTCCCTGGTTGGCAATTCTTAACATACATATTGGAATGTTGATATAGGGAAGAGGGAGGAGGTTAACACATTTTTAGAGCTAGTAGAGAAAATCTTTAATGAGAGATAGTAGCAGTTCTCTCTGTGCACCCAAATCCCTCCACTTCTAGTGAGTTTTACTCCTTTGCTATTCTCGGGTCTGTTCTTCTCCCTGGAACCAACTATTAAAGGCTTTTTGGGTGTTCTCATGGAGATACTGTGTTCATATACAGATGCATTGAGCTGCTATAGGATCAGACTTTTAGTGGTAGAACCTGCTTACTTAAGTTTTGCCTATAGATGGTGCTGTGGATGTTTATAAAAGAGAAAATAAACCATTTGCTAATAATTTAGATATATGGTTATTTATATGAGTCAAACTCCTAGTAAAATGGACTCCTATTACTTGAGAATTTTGAATATTTAGCCAAAAGATGCTTGAAAAGTTGGAACTACATTTTAAAGTACAGAGAGACATTAATGTCATTAATATAGTGGTGCTTACCTGTATTTCTCTTATTTTTGCAACAGAATTTAAATCTTTTTTTTTTATAGTTTAGATTACTAATTTGCTTCTTTGAAATTTGTTAACATTTCGAGTATTTCTTTTGGGAATAGTAGAAATCTGTGTTGAGTTCTTGCATCCAAATATTAAGGACTTTACATTCAGCAGACACCGCATTGTCTTAAGCCTCTATCTTGTCTCAAAGTCAAAGGCAGCCATAGCATGCTGTCCTAAAACTGCATACATTTCATTCTTTGGAAGCTTGATCTGGTTGCATGTATGTGCTGCCCAAGATAATGGTTTTTTAAAAAGATGAGAGTTCTTTTATGTTAATAATAGAAGTTGTTTTTTCCCCATTTTGGAGATTGCGTGATAGCATTGGTGACACTTTAAACACAAATCGCAGTTTTTGAAATTTTGACTATAATTTTAGGAAGTAAACAATAGCTTTATCAGAATGCTTTATTAGTTCATGATTTAGTTCCTTTTCATGATATAGCTAAATACTGAATGACATTTTTTGTTTTTCTTTTATGGTGGCTAAAGTTCAGTTTGCAGTTAATATCAGTAGATGCAGTAATGCAGTGTTTCTCAGAGCATGTTTGTTCACACTAATTTCATTAGTTGCTAATCTTAGTGAAAAAGGTTCTGAAGCCAAATAAATCTGGAAAAGTTTTTATTAAACAGATTTCTTCACTGTGGAGTTTCTCAGAGACTTAATTTGTAAATCTCCAGAAATACTTAGTAGTACTCAGTAATGCTCAAACTTCCTTGTCCTTTTTCAAGGAAAATTTTCAAACATTAATGTTTCTCAGATACGCTTCTCTTGTGTTAACCTTAATCCTTGACCTTTTAACTTTATTATTTGAGTTTTACATGATTATTTTAAGATTAAGATGAACTGTCTTGAGATGAAGAAACTGAAATGTTGATACTAGCAGAGGTTTGGCAATGGTGCCTGCCTGACATTTCCACTTGGCTGTCATATATCCTTAGACCAGCATGTTCAGAATTGTGCTTATCTTTGCCTTTAAACCTGATGCACATCTAATTATCCAAACCACGTATCTGGGAGTCTTAATCGCCTCCTCCCTTTCCTTCAATATCTGTATGCAGTTAAATACTAAGTTTAATAAGTGTTACTCCCAATATATGTATTTACCATTGCTAGCACTGTAGTCTAAGCTTTCATCTTCAGTTACTGGTCTACTGTAGTGGCCTGTATACTGATTTCTCAGCTTGCTGTCTTCTTCCTTCTACTCTGTTCTTAAAAGTGTAGCCAGAGTAACATTTTAAACACCAATTTGATTACATTAGGGCCCTGGTAGCATGGTGGTTAAGTGTTTGGCTGCTAACCAGAAGGTTGGCAGTTTGAATTCACCAGCTGTTCCTCAGAAACCCCATGGAGCAGTTCTGCTCTGTCCAATAGGCCACTATGAGTTGGAATCAACTTGACGGCAATGGGTTTCGTTTTGGTAGATTACTTCCCTGCTTAAAATTCTTTAATTGATTTTTATAACTACTGGTATCAGAATCTTTAACATGGTTCTTAAAGCTGTGCATCATCTGACACTGCCTATCTCTTTAGCCTCATCTGTTCATCCCATGTGTTCAGCAGCACTGAATTTTTTTAATTTTTAAGTATGGTGTTTTCGGTGAACGCTTACACAGCAGTTTAGCTTCCCATTCAACAGTTTCTACACAAGTTATTCAGTGACATTGGTTACATTTGCACTGTATTTTATTCATTCTTTGGAGGACCATGTTCCTTTTAGTCTCAGGGTTCATGCTGTAACCCCTCCCTAACCCTTGATTACTTATTTTAGGTAAATAATCTTGTTTATTATTTCTTTGAGTCATTGAACAAATATTAAGTACCTACTATCTGCCAGCTTCTGTTGTACTATTGTAGGGTTTGGGGATAAAACAGAACAAAGCCAAAACAAAACCGTTATGGAACTTTCATTCTAGTAGTTCATTCCACTGCCAGTCTTTTTTTTTTTTTTTTATTGTCCGTTAGGTGAAAGTTTACAGAGCAAATTGGTTTCTCATTCAACAGTTTATACACAAACTGTTTTGTGACATTGTCAACAATTACTGTAACGTGTCAACACTCGCTCCTTGTTCACCCTGGGTTCTCTGTTTCCACTTGTCCCATTTTTCTGCCCCTTCCTGCCATCTTGCCTTTGTTTTTGGATAAATGTTGCACATTTGGTCTCATTTACGTTATAGAACTAAGAGGCGCGTTCCTCACGTGTGTTATTGTTGGTTTTATAGACCTGTGTAATCTTTGGCTGAAGGGTGAACTTCAGGAGTGACTTTAGTTCTGAGTTAAAAGTGCGTCCAGGGTGGCATAGTCTCGGAGTTCCTCCAGTCTCTGTCAGACCATTAAGTCTAGTCTTATTTTGTGACTTTGAGTTTTCTGCGTTCTTCTCCTGCTCTGTCTGGGACCCTCTGTTGTGATCCCTGTCAGAGTGGTCTGTGGTGGTAGCCAGTCACCGTCTAGTTGTTCTAGGCTCAGGCTGGTGGAAGCTGTGGTACTTGTGGTCCATAAGTCCTTTGGACTAACACTTTCCTTATGTATTTGGTTGTCTTCATTCTCCTTTGCTCTGGACAGGATAGGACCAGTAGATGTATCTTAGATGGCTGCTCACAAGCTGTTAAGACCCCAGAAGCTACTCATCAAAATCGGATATAGAACTTTTTTTTAATGAACTGTGTTAGGCCGATTGACTTAAATGTCCCCCGAGACCATGGTCCCGATCCACTGCTAATCTTTGAAGTTCTGTTCAGACCTTCAAGCAAAGCATTTCCTAACTTCTTAAATCATTTTTCATTAATATAATTTAAAAATTTAATTGTTTAATGTTTCTTTATTTCTCTAGGAATTGAGTTTCATGGGAATGGGTATTTAAACCCAGGAAGTGCTCATTAAATATTTGTGGAATGAAGGAATGTGTGCTGTTCATATGGAGTGGTGTGGTAGAATATAAGTTAGTATGCAACATTGGTTGTTTAATCAAGTTAGTAATAAATTATCAAAATGATGAATTTCAGGTAACTGTATTGAAGTCAGCAGGCAAACAAGAAAGAAATACTGTATTTGAAGGTCATAACTAGAAAAACGCATTTATTGTGTATGTATTAACCCGTATATTAACCTGACTTCTGAAGTAGCATTCATCACTGTATGCTATGTGGAAATCCAGAGTTGCTAACTTTTCTCTGATATATTCTAATGTCTTAGAGAATGAAGATTTAGTAGAAGAAGGTGTATTTAGTCATTTAAAACATTACTTAAATTGTTATTTTCTAAATTTTATAAACAACCTAAATTTGCTTTCACTTTTAAAACTAATCCTTTTATAAGGCATAATTTGAATATTGTGTCAAATTACAAAAAAGTTTGACTTGTCTGCCAGAGTTCAACATGTTTAGCCTGTGTTAGTAATTGTAGCATTGTTTAAATTAACCTGTGTGTTTGGTCTCTTTTAGGCTGCAAAACGAGGTATTCTGTCATCTGGTCGGGGTAGAGGAATTCATTCAAGAGGTCGAGGTGCAGCTCACGGCAGAGGCAGGGGTAGAGGTCGAGGCCGAGGTGTTCCTGGTCATGCTGTGGTGGATCATCGTCCCCGGGCCTTGGAGATTTCTGCATTTACAGAGAGTGATAGAGAAGATCTGCTTCCTCATTTTGCGGTACTTCGTTACTGCCCAACAAAACAAATACTAATAATTATTGTAGAGGATAATGGATGTAATTAAAGAAAAAATTATGAAAATGATGACTAATTAAACCCATTAAATTAAACAAAGGATTTGGTTATAATAATCTTTTGTTAATTACTTAGAAAATAGAAACTGTAGGATTTTTTACAAAAATTAATACCTGGAAGAAATGTTACTGTTCTTACAGTTAATAGGACTTCAGATATAGTGGAATGAAGGATTTAAACTTTGTTACATCAGAGAGGGAAGTCCTCTAGTTTGACATGTAAGGAGAAGTTTAACACATTGCAGAGACCGTTCACTTTTTTTACCCAATAAAATAGAATGTTGAATCAAAAGGTTAAATTCTTTGCTAACCTCTCTACAATCTTACCTATTCTTTAATATCTAAGCTACAGTTTCATTACCTCGTGAAACTTTCCTCTGTTCTTTTGCCAATATATACCTATATGAAAGATACTCCTCTAAATTACTGAAGTATTTGCAGGTTTTAATACATTTAACCTGATTACAAATTATTTTTGATACTGTAGATGACCCAGAATAGACAAAATTTTGGTAGATGATCTTGAAGTTGCCTTAGTCAGTGCCAGGATAAAGGAAGGCAATGAGAACATGAGAAGGGAGAATGTAATTCTAGTTCCTGCTAATCCATTCTTTAGCTTGGACTTCTTGGATTCAGTGGGCTCATGTCCAAATAGAGAGGATTGTGAGGAATCAAAAGGTTGGTGATTCAAACCAACCAGCCGTTCTGAGGAAGAAAAGACCTGGCAATCTGCTCCCCTAAAGATTACAGCGTACGAAACCCTATGGAGCTGTTCTGCTCTGTCCTGTAGGGTTGCTATGAGTTGGAGTCGACTTGACGGCACACAGCATGTCTGCTAAGGAGTCCTTGGGTGGTGCGTGTAGTTAACGTGCTTGGCTACTAACTGAAAGGTTGGAGATTGAAGCCCACTCAGAAGCATCACATGCTTCTAAAATATCAACTGTTGAAAACCCTATGGAGTGCAGTTCTGTTCTGACATACATTGGGTCGCTAGGAATCGGAATCAGTTTGATGGCAACTGTGTTTTTTTTTTCAAATATTTGCCTAAACGCCCGTTCAACTTATATGTGATTCTTAGTGTTATCCCAGAGGTTAGTTACTAAGCATCAGTCTTGCCCTGAAGCGTATAATAATAGCTCTGGAAGATATGAAAGAAATAAAAAAACAGTTCTTTACTTTCCAGGATTTTACACATACTGTTTAAAGACAAACCAACTAAGGTAAATACAAAAATAATTTGTAATCAGGTTAAATGTATTAAAACCTGTAAATACTTTAGTAACTTAGAGGAGTATCTTTCATATAGGTATATGTTGGCAAAAGAACAGAGGAAAGTTTCACGAGGTAATGAAACTGAAGCTTAGATATTAAAGAATAGGTAAGATTGTAGAGAGGTACGCAAAGAATTTAACCTTTTGAAAATTCAGATTTAAGTGTTTTACAGTGATATTCCAAGCTGATGTAGTAGTTACGGAGGTAAAACTATACTTGTTCAGGACGTAGGATATCACTGGAAAAAAGTGGTTTATGTTTAAGAAATAACTAAAGTGATTAATAAGGAGCCCTGGTGGCATGATGGTTAAGTGCTTGGCTGTTCACTGAAAGCTTGGCAGTTTGAACTACCGAGGGGCTCCGCGCAAGAAAAACCTGTAAAGATCACAGCCTAGAAAGACTGTTGGGGCAGTTCTGCTCTGTCACATGGGGTTGCTATGAGTCAAAATTGACTCGACAGCTCCTAACCACCTAAAAACAACAGCAACAAAGTGATTAATATTTAAGGATGAAGAGTCTGAAATGCTTGGTGTATTCAAAGAGAGAAAGGAATCAGAACTAGAGAGGAGGTTGGGGATAATATAGCCCAACTCTTTCCTGCTATGTACCCCACTCCCACGCCTTCCGTAACGGCAAGGAGATCCAGATAACATAAGTGCCTTGTAGATAGTTAAATAGCTAATTAGGAAACTACCAAAGCATGCTATAGTAATCTAAACAAAATGAATTTGTTAGAGGAATGAATGTGTTATTGGTGAGCCTCAGATGGTTTTGATTTTAGAAATAATTAGAGCCTCTAAATGGAGATTCTTAACATTCATTTGGAGATTCGAACGTAGAGCTGCACTCAAAGTTAGTTGTGGTAATGCACATTTAAAAATTATTTGTCTTAAGTAAGAGTGCGGATATAGTTAAATTTAGCTTCTGTTGCAACATATGAGTCAAACATATGACAGGTATTAGAACAGAAAAACTATTATTAAAGTACTATTGATTACTACAGATTGTGATCAACAAAGTACTTTCTTTTATTTATCTGTCAAAACTAATAATAGTAATAATAAAAATTACAGCTAAAACTTATGGAACACTTATTTTGTAACAATATTCTGAATGCCTTATAATAATTCACTATATTATGAGTTATTTCAACAGTTCTATGAGGTAGATACCTTTAATATGCCCAATTTATAGATGAAGACAGTTAAGCCTGAAGAGGTTAACTAATGCTTAGATTTACACAACTAGTGATTGACAGAGCTGGGATCTGACTGGCTCTAGAGTCCGTTCTTTTTATTGTACTCTGTAGAATTTTGCTCTGGTGTGTGTGTTTAATTAGATTATGGTTATAATTTTATTTTTGGATAAACAGAGAAAGAAGGTATTAATATATAAAGGACTAGGATTTTATGTGATAGATTGTTACCTGTAGATAAATCCTCCGAAACATGGAAAAAATAAAAAACAGCAGATAAAAAGTAGGAATAATTTAATGTATTTAGCTTTTAGATGTCCTAAAAAGGTGTATATAGAGTATGTAGCAAGAGTAAAAGCATAGTCAGAGTGTTAAACTTTTGAATCAAAAGACCTGGGTGCTCATCTAGGTAATTAATTAGGGGAAATTACTTAAATTCTCTTAATCTTTATTTCCCCATCTTTAAATTGGGAATAATGCCAAACACTCATAGAATGTTTTGAGGACTAAATATTCTTAAGAAAGATTTTTGTGGATTCTGGGATTGGAGTAATGAGGATGAGGAAGGTCAATAAGGAAACTCAGGCTTTGACTGTTGTTTTCTTCATTTAAAGAATAATTAAATAGAGAGTAATTTTCCTTAATTCTGGAAAGTGTATAATTGTAGATAACATTGGAAGATAGAGCCACCCTTTATCTTACAATGTCAGGTGCTAAAATGAATACTCACTGTTCTTTTCTGTTAGCGAGGATGAATTGTTACACATTTTGGGTTACATTATTGGTATTTTAATGTTTTTGAAACCATTAGAATTTTGGATGCTTCAAAATACTTATTTGGAGGAAATAATTTTTTTTTTTTTTAATTTAAAGCAATACGGTGAAATTGAAGATTGTCAGATTGATGACTCTTCACTTCATGCTGTAATTACATTCAAGACAAGAGCAGAAGCTGAAGCAGTAAGTATTACAAATAATATAATTGGTTGAAAATTCAGATTTAAATTTTTTTTAATACTGCCTTTAAGTTTTAATACAAGCCAGTTTTTTGTAACTTAACTGCAACTATACTTTGACAGTAGATAGAACAGATGAAGTGCAGAATTCACGCCCTCAAAGAAATTGCTAGCGCAATTAGGCAATTCTGTACATAACATGATGTACGAAGAATATGTCAAGTTGTATTGTTTTGAAAATCCACAAATTGTTTTTCTCTTTCAAAGGAAATAGGGCCACCCACTTCCCGTTATCTTTTTTCTCAGCTGGCCCAGAACAGAATGGTCAGGTCTGCTTTGGCAGAGTGACTGGGTTAAGGTAGAAGGTCAGAGTATAATTCTCTGGCTTTCCATCTTAACCATCCCTCCTCTGCTGCTTTCCAGTCCCAGCAGCCTGGACTCTAAGGAAGTGTCCCTCGCTCTGCTTACTCTCAACTAGGCCCCACTACTTTTTCTCATCATATAGGTCTAATGAGAGTTACCTCCTGAAAGTAAATACCCTTTTAGTTGGATTTACTTAATGGACTGAAAGAAACAAACACCACTGCTATGATGAATATTTGTAATTTAATTGGAGAAGTTGTCAGGCCATAAACATTTTCTTAAGCCAAAAAGTTTCTTAAAAATTTGTAATGTTTTATTTTTTAAAAGAATGGAAAATTAAATTGGAGTTTATCTTACATCAGCGGGATATAGACTAGATCAGTGGTTTTCAATCTTCAAGATTTCTGAAAAAGGAAAGATTTAGGTATTAAAAATTAGTGTGTTTAATATATAGGTAACAAGTTTTTATTTGCTAAGGAAGGATGTTTAAAAAATCCACAGAAAGATTGCCATGTACTATCACTATCATATAAAATAAATTTTTTTTAAGTAACCAAAGGTGGCCATTTATTTATTTTATTGTGCTTTAGGTGAAAGTTTACAGAGCAAATTAGTTTCTGATGAAACAATTAATACACAAATTGTTTTGTGACATTGATTGCCAACCCTGCAAAATAAAGGAAATTCTTAACATCAGAAATGTTGAAGGACATAAACTCAGGATAAAGGATAGACCTTCCCAGGAAAAGAAAATTGTTAACGTTTGCCAGCATTTATACCCCAATATTAAACATTGTTTTTACTGTCTGAACCATTGTTCTAGGTAATTGAATTTCTCCTTGCTTTGCTATAGTCAATAGATACATAGCATTTCAAGGCAGAAGTATAGGAATTAGGCAATGAGACATTCAGATATGACTGAAAAGTGAGAAATTTTCCCCAGGAAAGAGATTTAAGCATTCTAAGGAATAAAAATTAAAGCAGAACACCTTTAAATTTAGGTTAAGATGGCTGTGTTTGATTCTGGTTAGTTAGAAGACAGTTCCTATTGCTTCATTTTCCTGTTTGTCTATCACTACCCCAGTGTATTAAGATTGGATACATACCTAAACAGAACAAAAGAAAGTAGCTTCTTCCCATGACTGATTAGAATGTTAGTTCTCCTACTCTTAATTGTTCCTATACCTTTGTAGGATACCAGGATGCAGTTTTATAATAGGGACGGTTAAGTTCCAATTTTAGAAGAATCAGTCCCAAAGATGCAAATTTTACAATCCCAAACTCAAAAGCAGCTATAGCTTTATGTCAAAAGAAAAAATAATCTTTTTCTGCTGATCTGTTTTGTCCCAACTCCTAGTAGTTGTGAGGGTTTACTGATTCAAAAACTAAGGTGCTTGTTTAGAACAGTGCCTGAAACTTAATAAACACTCTTACTGCTATCTGTTAATATTGTTGTGCCTTTTTTCAGAATGAGAAATGATTGGTAAATCAATGAAACCAAATAGAAACAAGATAGAGTAAAAGATTTCAAAAGAAGTCTCATTCTGTAGGAAGAAGGAGAGTCAGCAGTAGAAGGAAGAGATGGAATGTGTGGCTAATTACCTTCATGAACAACTGCCTCCTTTGCCATGATACCAGAAGAACTGGATGGTGCTCAGCTACCATTACTTGAACATTTTGATCAAAGATTCTATAGAAGAATCCTGATCAAAAAGGGGTCAGTATAGAAGAGATGCTCAAATTCTCATGGAATCCATACATTCTGGAGCCATGGAGGCTGGATGAACCCCTGTAACTATTATACTGAGATAATCTTTAAACCTTAAACCAAAAATATCCCTTGAAGTCTTCTTAAAACCAAACAGCAGTTTAGCTTAACTAGTAATGACTGTCTGCCTTAAGCATTGTACTCTTTCAGGGTTTATCGAAATGGAATCAAATTGACAACAGCAACTCGAAAGATGAGAAAGGAACCTTAGGGGACAGTGAGTTTATGTTAAGTGGGAGGAACAACTCAGGAGAGTGAGAAAAGTTGCACAATGCCAAGACTGTAATCAGTGTCAGTGAATTGTACATGTTGAAATTGTTGAATTGGTGTATGTTTTGCTGTTAATATATTCTCAACAACATAACAACAGCAACAAAAACAATATAAATTATAAAACAAAACAAAAAACTCATTCTTTAGACCTGAAGTTAGAAGCAGTGAATTGGGTTCATAAAGAATAGTGCAACATTAACAGTCAAAGGTTGATGGGGCTGACTGAGAAAATAGTAAATTTATAGCAAGAAAAATTTGTATAAGTAGATCCAATCAGGAGAATAAAATCATATACATAGCTCAGGTTTTTTGTTTTTTTTTTTTTTTTGTTAAACTGATTCACTTAATAGTTATTAAATACTGCCATATGATGGGCAGTATGCTACCAGAATTAGTAATTCTGGGTCTGAAGCTCATGAGAAAGTGACCATGCAGCTTAAAGAGTTAAATGAATAGAAGTCTTCTCCTGTAAGTTCTTAAAAAAATTAGATGTTACATGTATTTTTATATTTGTGGTTATTTAATGTTAACTCCTGCCTCAACATTGTATACTGTGGTTATTACAAACACTAATAAACTTACTTTTAGCCTTTTTTTATAGATTAGTTCTTTCATTATTACTAAAAATCTAAGGTACAATGACACATACCTCAGTGCAGTTTTCCCCACATGGTTTTTGCACAGCACTGATTCTATAGGAGCTCCCGTAATGATGGCTTCTCTTCTCAGATAAGTCTATGAAAATCTACATTCTGCATACTCGATTTAGAATCGCAGTCTAAATAGCTCTGAGAAGTCAGGAGGTAAACAAATCTGTTTAATTTTGCTTGGCCCTGTTTGTTTCAAACTTAGTTGTTTGCTGAACCATTTTCCATGTTAGATGTGGAACCCACCTCATAGCTACTTTTTATAATTTTTCCTTCCTCCTTCATTTAATCTTCAGCGTTTATTTTTCTTGTTGCTTGTGTGTACCTGCTTTCCTTTTTAATTTGCTGCAAACTTGGATCAGTGCGTGTAAGAACAAGTAGGCGAAGGGCTGGTGGGCAAGCCTGAGAAAAATGCTTTAACTTTAAAATAGTTTCTTTTCACACTTAATAGTAAAGAAATTTCAAACATATATATAAGTAGACAGAACTGTAATTCTTTCCCGTATGCTCATCATGCAGCTTCAGCAGTTATCCACGTCATCTTATTTTGTCTATATTCCCCTCACCATGCCCCTCCTCCTCGTTATTTTAGAGACATCCTAGTCATCATATCATTTCATGTGTGAAGATTTCAGTGTGTATCTTTCAGTAATGGAGCCTTAAAAAAATAAAACACAATATTGTTATTACCCTGATTTTCTGCTGCATTTTTTACTCAGCTTCGTTTAAATAAATATCCAAATAAATTTCATACTTTGTTACTGCTTGATTGGTATTGTAGAATCATGACCTCACAGATTTAAACATTTCATGGGGTATCAATTCATTGTTTCCAGTTTTTGATGCTCAACTTGTCCCATCTTTTGCTAGTGGGAGACTATACGTGTTGGCTTCTGAGTCCTTTTGCTATGACCCTAGTAATCTTTGATTGTTTCCTCTTTTTCACATATAAAATAATGTTCTAGTCTCATCTTAAAAAGTTTTCACTTCCAGTCCTGGAATTGACCATATCTGTAAGGAGCTCAGCTCCTTTTATTAGGCAAAGGTATTTAAAGACCACAGTCTGGATCCTGGGGCTACTCATCACTACTGGGTATGTTACTGTCACAAATCCTTTTCAGTAGTCAGAGCTTGGAATGCAAAAGAAATGAAAAGTCTATGTGTGTATCGGTTTCTTCCAATTTCCAAATATGCTTCAGTAAAATATAAAGAAAGACCATTGGATCTGGCAGGACATACTAATTTATTGATAATGTCCATTGTGTTAAAATTTGTTATTTAACATATTTGAGTGTTTTTACTATTTTAGAAAAAAGTTTTAAGTTTGACTTCTAAAATTATTTTTTGAATAGACAATACATATTCATGACATAAGAACTCCAAAAGGTTGTGTAGTAAGAAAAAAATCATCTTCTCATCTTTATCCTTGGTCCTCAATTTTCTGCCCAGAAATTACACGTGATTTTAGGGGTTTTTGTTTATCTTTTCAGAACGAATCTATGAGTTTACAAGGTAACTTTTTTCCTCACGTAAATGGTAGCATAAGATGCGCAGCGTTCTTCACCTTGACCTTACGCTTAAAAGTCTATCCTGCAGATCATTTCATATCAAGAGCTCCTTTTTTTTTTAATGATTGCATAAATATTACATTATATGGATGTACTAAAATGTAATCAACCAATACTTAGATCGACTTTAAATTGTTTCTGGTCTTTTACTGTGTGGTAGTAAATTTTTTGGTGCATACTTCTCTCCATGTAGGTGAATATATCTATAGGTTATATTCTTAGATACATAATTGCTGTGTGAAAGACTGTTCATTTAAATTTTTGATAGTTCTGAAATTGCCATGCATATACGTTGTGCCCTTTTGCATGCCCACCAGTGATGTGTGTCTCCCTTTCCACCACATTCTTGCCCAAGTTTGTACTTTCCCTAATGGTTTTACTATTT